ACCATAAAAATAAGAAATTAGGGCAGGAAAAGCCAGGCAGCTTGTCAGTCTGAGAAGATAACTTCACACTGTGTTGCCATTCATCTTGCAGGCTCCAAGCCATTAGTTGTGGTGAAGAACTTGAGATTTTGGAAAACCAGAAGGCAGAATAGAACTCTAGATAGGACATAAAGGGGCAGGATTTAAGAGATGAAAAAAGGAGGGTTTCAAGGGTGAATTTTGCAGTTTTGACTGATACCCCAGGGTCCTCATGCCGCAGATACTCAGGCAAATCCTTTGCTTGCTTTTGACATCAGTGAGCAATGCTAGTGGAACAGTGGAAGGATAAAATTAATATGATGGCAGTATGCAGGAGAGATTTGAGAAGATGCAGGAAAATCTATTTAAATGAAATAGCCTATTGACTAGGGTGGTAGCATTTGAAGTAGAGAAAAAAGGAAGACTGAAATAATTTTCAAAAGAAGAATCCACAAAATTTGGTGTGAGATGGGAGATAGCTGAGGGAAGGGAAGAAAAATATAGTTTTCAAGCTCAAGTGACTGGAAGAATGTGGTGGTATTTTAACAGAAATAGACAAGTTTAGATTAGGAGCTATTTTGAAGGGAAAGCAGATAATTATAAAATGAGTTTGAGGTAAATGGTTAGGCATTCAAACAAGTATTAGGAAAATAGGAATATGGGAACTCGGCAAAAGGTCTGTGCTCAAGATGTTCCATCAATTGCTTACCTTCTTTGGAACTCAGTTTCTACAGTCTCAGTTCAAATTCCAGGTCTGCCACCTACTACCTGTGCAGGTTTTTGAAGATTGTTTTCAAAATTGCCAGCTGAAGGATGAGAATAAAATTTCTGAAAGAATGTAGAAAGGAAAATTGAGGACCTAATTGAATGTCCATGTTTAGGAGATGGAAGGATCATAGATTTAAAACTTGGAAGAGAGCTCAGAGATTATTTGGACCAGTTGCCTCATTTAAGAAAATTAAGGCCCAAAGAGAGTAGAGGATTTAGCCAAGGTTGTACAGGTATTGAGTGGCAGAGCTGCACTGAAGACCAAGAGGAGGAGAAGAGAGGAGAGCTGAAGGAAGAGAGAATGGTTGAATACAAAAGGAGAGGAGGAAGGATAGCATCATGGTCATATGGTCCAATGAAGTGAAAGAGAGTGAGGGCCCACAGAGTTGTTGAAAATTTGGCAGATTGGGGAAAGAGAAAGGAACAAGCATTTATGAAGCACCTACTATGTGTCAGACACTTTACTAAACTCATTACAATTATTATCTCATTTGATTCTCACACAACCCTAGGAGGTAGGCTCTATTATTATCTCCATTTTGCAGTTGAGAGAACTGAGGCAGATAGAAATTATGTGACTTGTCCAGGTTCACTTAGCTGAGAAGTATCTGAGGCTGGATTTGAACCCAAGTCCTCCTGTCTCCAATTCTAGCACTTTACAGTATCACCTAGCTGCTCTGATTAGAAAGTCATTGGTGATCTGTGCAAGTATTATTTCCAGTAGAGTGGTTGGAAATGGCAGAGTGAGAAAGAGTGTCTATGATTTGTTGAATGAACAGAGAGAGAAATGAATGCATAATTTTTGAGGATACTCCTGTAAGGTGTTCAGTCATGAAAGGAAGAACAGAAATAGTATGGTTACTTAGAGAACTACTTAGGGCCAAGTGAAGATTTTTTGTTTTTTGTTTTTTTTTAAGGGAGGGGAAGACTTGTATATCTTTGAAGACAAAAGGGAGGAGCCAGTGTAGCGAGAAGGATTGGAGATGTGTGACAGAAAAGGCATTATGGAATTAAGGATATAGAACAGGAAGGGCATCTAGTTCGGCCCCTCATTTTTTAATTGAAACTGAGACCCAGAGTGGTTAAGTGACTTGCCCAAATCACAAAGTGGCTAAACTAAGATTTGTATCCAGCGCCTCTAATTTCAAATCCTTCACTCCACATCAGTTTGCATGCATGATTATACCTAGTTTTTCTGGGTGGGTGATTTGTGGCTGCAGTCCTAGCTCCTTTGCCTTCCAGAATATCATATTCCAAGTCCTCTGCTCCTTTAACATGGAAGCTGCTAAAACTTGTGTGTTATCCTCACTGTGGCTCCATGATATTTGAATTATTTCTTTCTGGCTGCTTTCAATATTTTCTCTTTGACTTGGTTACTCTAGAATTTAGCTATATTAATTGACTCTTCCTTTCACTTGAACGCTTAGAGTCCAGTGTAGAGTTATTAACTGGCCTAATTTCAATATTGTGTCTCAAGGAATAGTGAGGCCTCAGGAGAAGGAGAAAGAGAGAGCCAGTCGGTTGAGCAGTCAGAACATACATCAATTAATTTCAATGTCTTATTATATGGGCACACCCCAAAAAAGTTATAAGAGTAACATCAAAGATCACTGATCGTAGATCACTATAACAGATATAATAATAATGAAAAAGTTTGAAATATTGAGAGAATTACCAAAATGTAACAGAGACCCAATATTTGTAAAAATGGTGCCGGTAGACTTGCTCAAGGCAGGGTTACCACAAACCTTCAGTTTGTAGAAAACACAACTTCTTTTTTGTTTGTTTGTTTGTTTGTTTTTAGGCAATTGGGGTTAAGTGACTTACTACACAGGTAAGTGTTTGGTCTGAGACTGGATTTGGACTCAGGTCCTCCTGACTTCAGGGCAGGTACTCTATCCACTGCACCACCTAGCTGCCCCGAAAACAAAATTTCTTTAAAGCACAGTAAAGCAAAGTATAATAAAATAATGTATGTCTGTAAGTTAATTTTTTTGTCTCTTAATTTATATGCATTCATTTTCTGTTTTTCAATAAGTCTAGACTACTCGTTATAGGAGTTTACTGGCAAAAGAAAGAGGAAAGAGAGGATAAAAGCTAGGAATAGTAGCATTGTTCACTTAGTGGTCTGTTTCCTTTTGTAACTATGAGTGGAGAAAATTTGTCTCTTTTTGTTGCAATTGATTATCTTTAAACAGGTTTAATTATCAAGCATAACATTATTAAATAGTTAAGTACTTTGATGCCATTGTGATGCCAATATGATGAGCATTACATATTCATGTTTTGTAGCTGAGCTACTCTTTTTCCAATAAAAATTATTCAGTTTGCTCCTGCCATTTTAAAAAATTTAATGCCAGTGTTTGGATCCCACTTCTTCCTGTTCGATCCTCTCTTTCATCTTATTAACATACTAATCTCCTGTATAGCTTTAGTCTCTCTACCTCTACTCCTTCCTTTCTGCCTTTAAATGTATTCTTGTTTTTCCTTTCAAGGAAAAACCTATACTTAAACCTTCTATTTCTTGTCTCCCTGTCATATTAAAGTTCTCAAGTTGAGTGCTGAATACTTACAACTTTCATTTCCTTATTGCCAAAACTCTTTATCTCTTGCATTCTGGCTTCCATTTTCAATATCTCATTGATACCACTCTCTCTAAGGAGGTCATCAGTGACGACTTCTTATCAAGATCTAATGATCTTTCCTTGTTTCTAGCCAAATATTGCAGGAATTGCGTATGAGCACCCTTCCCTTTATCTTTCCCTGGCACCATTAGCCATTTCTTGTAACAAAAGGAAAATATTCCCCTTGTTTCTCGAGTTTTTTCTTTCTCCTTCACTAACCGTTTGTTTTTCTTTTTCTCGCTTACTATGAAACACTCCAGAACTTAGAAGTTTGCCCCCTATTCTTCCCTCAGTTATCTGCCTTGGAAAGCTTCATCCATTTTTAAGACTGCCAAATCTACATGTCTAGCTTTGACCTGTGTTGTTAGATTCCACATTTCCAGCTACATAAAAGACATTTCCACTTGGATAGCCTGATTCACCTGAAACTTAGTATGTTGAAAACAGGATTGATCCCTGCCCCCTTCAAAACTGTTATCTCTTCCTTAATTCTATTTCTACTGTCAAACTGAGCATTTTTATGATTACTCTGATTCGATATTGCCTAGTAGTGAAATCTATATCACTTCTTATCTCCTTTCCTTGTTCTTTGGACAGTAGGCAAATGCATTTGCATAATCAGGAAATAGTCAAGATTTTACTTTATTGCCGTTTGCTTTAAGGTACCATCTTCAGCAACACATTATATCTAAATACAGTAATCGTCTGTGTTATCATCTAATTCAGTTTTTATTGGGTACCTGTTATGTGCAAAATATATTATTGTCCTGTTCCCTAGACTCAGAGAGTTATATTTGACTCTCTCTCATATGTCTAATATTTTACCACATCTTATTCGTTTTTCCTTTGATTTCTCTTAAGACTTCCCCTCACGCCTGGGTTATTGAGTAGCCATCTTGTTGATCTCTCTTCCTCCAGGTTCCTCTTTTCTTAACCTTCTTATATAGAGCTGCTAGAATAGCATTCCTCAAAAACTTTACATCCTGTCATTCCATGCAATGATTCCCTGTTGCCAGGATTTCAAATCTAAACTCCTGTCTTCTCTAGCCTCGTCTTTTGTAGCTCTCTAATTTAGCCCCTTTGTTTTAGTCAAACTAGCCCATTTTCTATCCCCTGTATGCACCTTGCTCTGGGCCTTGATAACTCTGGGTCTTGACATATGCCATTTCACTCATGCAATTTATTTGTTTTTCCCCTGCCAGTTCATGTTTTTCTAGGCCTGCTTTTAGGAAGCCTCCTCTGGCTATTCCCACATTACCACTTAATTTATCATGTCTGCATACAAAATCCAAATTTTGTATAATGCCTACAATATAACATACTCATTTTGTATTTTATTATCCTATACTTATAAATAGAATCTGATTTTTTTAAAAAAGGTAATTGATTTTTAGCCATTCTTTGGACACAGGACTTCATGAGAATGGATTTTACCAGTTAGATCTCCTATAGAGTATTGGTATTGGTAGCCTAGGTAATATTAAGTATTGTTTGTTGGTTGGGCAGGAGGTATACCAAGGACTAGTGTCTTGCCTCAGCCTCTTATGAGTATGTCATATTAGACTTCCAATTTCTTTTACTATTTTCCAGTCTGTTATCTTAGGTCAGTGATGCAGGAATGCTGGTTAGTGAAGCAGGACAACTGCCACCAACGAATCAGACTGCCACATTTAGAAACAGTGGTGATAGGACGTGGTCCAGAGACCAAGATAACCGATAAGAAATGTTCACGACAACAAGGTAAGTAGTGGCTACAACTAAGCTTAAAGAGATTCTTATGTCACCTGATGACTGCAGGGTCAGCTTGAGAAGTATCAAGTTTAGAAGAGTTGATAGTGTTGGAAAATTCTGTGCTGGCTTCCAAAGAGAACCCAGTTGTTGAGCTTTTTCACATGTGCCTGGTTACAGTTTATTTCCAGTTCCATAAGCGTAGGGATGTGGCACTTTTCCTTTATCCCATGATTATGGGGCTGATTTCAGTTGCCCCTTCCCTTAAAGACAAATAAATAGGTTTCAGATTCCCATTGTGATGAAAAAGATGAACTCTAAGGTGACCATAGGCCATAAATGAGCATGGGAGGTTGAGTTAATAATGGCTAAGGTGGGTGGGGGGGTCTTAGCTCTTGAGATTTTATCCTTTGCTACCTAGTTTCTAACCTCAACAGTTGACTTAAATTGCCCTCTTTAAAGTAGCAGTTTTTAAACACGTTTTTTAAAATTTTAGTTAACAAAATTCTATTTTTTCCCTTTCATCTTTGTTTTCTTCATTGAAAGAGAAAGAAAAACAAAACTATTATAATAAATCTTTATAGTCAAGCAAAACAAATTCCTGCATTGGCTATTTTTAGAAATGTCTTGTTTATGGCTTCATCTGCACCCTGATTCTATCACTTCCTCCATCAGGAAACAGATACTTTGTTTGGTCATGAGCCCTCTGGAATCACAGTTGATCATTTTTGATCAAAGCTGTTAAGTCTTTCAAAGTTCAGCATCAATGCAGCAAGCCTCTGAGAACTGAAGAACATGAGGGTGCGTCCTAAGGAGAGCTGAACCAGCCCAGGTCAGAAGTGAGGCAAAGCAAGACCCCCCCAACCTTTTTCCACATGGATTGTCATTGAGCTGTTCTTCCCCTGTCTTGTCCTTATGAAACTGATTTTTGAACCAAAGGATAGGATGTTATCTTATTATTTCTCTTAAATTTCATCCTGTTAGAAGATCCAAATTGTAGAAGACATTGAAAACCATGCAAAGAACTACAAATTTTATTACCAGAGAAATAACATGACTAAATATGCAAATGCCAGATGAATCTGGCAGCAGTCTGTAGGATGGATTAGTAAGTGGAGATTGGAGGTGGAAAGACCTGTTAGGAGATTATTACAGTAGTCTATATGGGAAGTAATTAGGTCTTATACTTAATATGCATTAACAAACATTTATGAAGCATTTACTCTGGGCCAGGTACCGTTTGGAAAACAGAGGTGTGGCTTAAGGTGAAAAAGATTTCAGACATATATGTATCTCAAGGCACTGGTCACTCTCAGGCCTCTGAGGTCACTATCTCTCCTGGGTCATGCAAGCCCTGCATCTTGCAGCAAGGCAGCATCAGCACTTTGAGAGACAAGACGGGCCAGGTTCCGCTCTTTATTGAGGGCAGATGACCTGCAGAGGATTTTGAGAGTTCTCCAGGAGAGCATGTTAAATCAATCTACTTCGCGTGGTATTGGTTACCCAGTACTGTTAGTCTTGCTGGCGAGTGCTAATGACATGCCCATCAACTACCTATTCCCAAATCCTTATCTCGAGTCCTGAGCATTCCTGCTTCTCCCTACACCACCTCGTACCAGCTTGCCCATCTTCCAGGTTTTTCTATCTGTGCTGCAGATTTGTGGTTGGAAGCAGGAGGGGAAGGGGATTAAGGGCACTGGCCCCAGGGATAGGAGCAGCAATGCCTATTAGCGGTGCGGGACAGAAGGAAAAGAGAGATTGAGGGGTGATGCTGGGAAGCTGAGGAAGGTCACTCCCAGGTGAACACTCCTAGTGTTCTCAGGCATGTTTAGAGTGTGGGGAGCCTGAGGAGAGGCAGAAGGGTTTGGACCAGCCCTTGTGGAATTGGAACTAGAAACAGTGATGAGAAGGCCCCATGGCTACCTCCAGAGACAGCAATGCCAAAACATTGTAAGAAATAGCTGATGTATGCCAATAGTGGTCCAGTGACCAGCTCATCCTGACCGTTAGCAGTGTGTATACAGCAGTAGTAAAGGATGGACAGATTCTCAGGACATTCTCTGATGAGCTTACAGCCTGCACAAGAGAGCCCTTGTCATTTCTTTTGAATCCAACTATTGTACTAGTTTGCTTAAAAACTAGAAATAAGCCTTTTGCTTTCAGCAGACACATTGTGTTGTGATGTACTAGAAAGAGGGCCTGAAGTCAGAGAACAGTGTTTGAATCTCACTTCTGTTATTACTTACCTGTGTGACCTTGAGCAAGTTACTCTTGACCTTTCTGGCCCTCATCTGCAAGAAAAATAAAGCTGGCTTTTGTATAGCACTTTAAGGTTTGCAAAGCACTTTATATATGTTAAATTATTGGAGCCGCAAAACAACCCTCAGAGGTAGGTTCTCTTCTCTCTTTTTCCTCATTTTACAGATAAGAAAACTAAGGCCAAGAGGGTTTAATGACTTGCCAGAGGTCACATAGCTAGTTTGAAGAGTTGGTGAGATCAAACTCAGGTCTTTTGGACTTCAAGTACACCACTCTATCCTGGGATAGGACTAGGTGAGCTTGAAGGGAGCTTCCAGCTGTAAAGCTCGGATCCTATGATCTAATCAAATGAGCCAAGGGGCTAGTAGTAAGGCTTATTAGGAAGGTGACACCTCGTGGAGACAGCATGTGTACTATTCATTAAATAAGGTATGAAATCAACACCTCACTCCATGACCTCCCAGTAGAGGAAAGAATCATTTCTCAGTCCCATAGAGACCCACTGGACACTACTTCTCCCCTAAAGATCTTAACAACTGATAAGAAGTATGCCATAATATTTTTATGATAATGTAGTAGCCTATTCTCTGAACCATTTCTTTCTTTAGGTTTCAGTATTAAACATTTTACATACTCCTTTCATTACTGGAAACCAGTGGTATATCCTGAGATTTGGATAAATGAAAAACATAGTTTCAGAGAAATATCAGCAGTAGATGACATATTTATAATGCTAATTACCTACCTCAGAATTGTGAGATTCTGGAACAAATTATTCTGTTCTTCACGTTGCTTTTCTATACCATGGAGTACATAGGCTTTTTCAGTAGAGAATAACAATGTCCCATTTATGGTAGAATCTCAGGGTTCTAGAATCAAAGGTTTGATTTTTTTTAAAGGAACGCTGCTATCTTACGAGATTTCCTTAACCTGGGGAAATTTGGCCAAGTGCTGCAAACCCTGCTAGGCCCCTGAAGGGAAAAGTATTTGTCAATCACTTACTATGTACAAAGCACTGTGCTAAGTGCTGGGGATACAAATAGAAAAGTAAGACAGCTGTTGCCCTCAAGGAGCTTATATTCTAACAGGAAGAGTCAACATTTATTGGAGGGTTCAGCTTTAGGATACATAGGAAGGCTCTGTAGAATACCAAAGCACATGCTAATAATTTTAATTAATGTCATTGCTGTTGATGAAACCATGTCTGTTTCTGAAGTTGAACATTTGATAATGCCAGAGACTTTGGAAAGAACTTTCTTTTCACAGTTTTCAGTAGCTGTGGCTGCTGAGGAGGCAGCACTTGCAACAGCGGAGTGGCTTCCATGAATGATGGCTTCAGGAGCTGGATTGGAAGCAAAGTCAGTGGTCTAGGGGTTGATGGTATTCCTCAGGCTTTTGGGTATAGGTGTCTGGGCTTCATCTGTTGGGGTATGAGAATAGGTAGTGGCACAATGAAATCCACAGAGTATTGTTTTTCATTTGAACAGCCTTTTGTTACCCTGAAAAGCTGTCATGTAAGCTTTTGGGCCTATGTCTCTTGGGTCCTTCAGCCAGCGTTATAAATTCTGAAGCTGTCTATTTGTGCCAACATTAAAAAGACTTCAAAAGACTTATGGAGGCCTTAAGAAAATGGTGATTGTTCAGGCTTCCCATTTGGGAGGTGATTTGGGGAAACCTTGTGGGACCATGTTGAGTCATGCTTCATATTAAGATTTTCCTTTTTCTTTCCTCCAGGAAGAGTAGGAAAAACTTGTATTTTTAAAGTATTAATTTTTTTTTAAAATCTTTTTCAGTACAGTTGAAAGCAGAATGCAATAAGGGTTATGTCAAAGTAAAGCAGGTATGTGTTTATTGGTTTCCTTGGGTTTATTTAGCATTTTGTTTTTGTTAAATCTTTTTAAATTTAATTGTTTTATTAACCAGTTTTGTTTTAACAAATCATACAGAATCCCAGGGTCCTCAGTATTGAATCCCTTACAATATACAAGCCCTCAAAATAATTAAAGAAAACAATATAAAAGAGTAAGCCAATAGTACCTACAACCTTAGACTTGGGTTATTTTTCGTTTCATTATAAGAAAGATTAGTTTCATAAATTACTACCAACATTGTCCAGTGCTTTTGATTTAAGTTTTATTGCCCTTTGGAGTTGCCTTCATTTATATAATTGTAGTATTGAAGGTCACTGAGAGTAGGACCTGGAGCAGGGGAGTTCCCAGTGCCCTAATATAATGTCTTTCACTTGGTTTTCTTAAATATTTGTTGAATTGAATGTGGTTCTACTTTGTTCATTCTTTTCTCCTAATATATTTTACCATCAAACAATCATATATTAAGTACTTAGCCAGGCACTGGATTATGTTCTAAGGATTCAGATACATAGAATGAAAACATCCCTACCCCCATGGTACTTGCATTTTACATGTTCACATGTTCTTTTTTTTTTCCTTCCTTTTTTTTGATATGAGGCAGTTGGGGTTAAGTGACTTGGCCAGGGTCACATAGCTAGTAAGTATCAAGTGTCTGGTCTGAGACCAGATTTGAACCCAGGTTCTCCTGACTTCAGGGCCAATGCTCTATCCACTGCGCCCACATGTTCACATATTAATACATGTTCATATATTGATACATGTTTACAGATAAGAAAGTTATAGAATGTATGTAAGATAAATACGCAGTGATTTGGGGGAGTCGGGGACACATAAGGGGGATCAGGAAAGGCCTTTTGAAGGAGGTGGCCCTTAGCCTGAGCTTTAAGGAAAACCCAAGATTCCAGGTGGTGCAGGTGAATAGGAGAACATCCTAGGCCAGAGGGACAGACAGCCTGTGCAAAAGCGCAGAGGTAGTGTGTGCTGATCCTCAAGTTGGGCAGTTTGGCGGGAGCCTGCCAGTGTGTGAAGGGGAGTAATATGTAATCAGCAAGAAAGATAGGCTGGAGTCAGCTTGTGAAGGGCTTTAAATACCAAATAGAGGGGTTTATGTTTATCCCAAAGGGTAATGGGGAGCCATTGAAGCTTTTTTCCAAGAAAGGAGTCAGTCCTAACGTAAATCAAACCAAAGTATGAATTCTTTGTTCTATTGTGAAGAAATGCTTTCCCCTCACAGTGGTGAGAATTGCACATATATATGGAGTGGATTGTAAGCTGGAAAAGTCTTGGGGTGAACCCTTTACTAGTGGTATGAAAGAGGATGTTGGCTGGATCTGGAGAAAGTAAAGGGAGCTGGCAGTGAATGAGGTAGGGAGATGAATTGGCCAAGTTACTTATTGGTCTGGCCCAGGCTTGCAAACACGGAAGGCAGATGTACCAGTTCCATTCTGTACTTTTTAGGTTTATTTTATTTTATATTATTTTCCTTAGTTGCCAGTAAATTTCTCTTTAAAAATACAGCCTCTTGGAGTGTCTCTTGGACAAGCTAAGGGGAAAGAAAGCAGTGGCTGTACTGAAGCTCGAAGCATATTAATGATAACAGTGGAGAGATGAAGAAGGGCTGCCACCCTAATAACTCTTAGTATCCCAGCCAATAAGGGTAGAATATAGAAAAAAAAAGAAAACTTTGCAAAATCCTATTTTCCTATAGTGGTCTTAGTTTAGCTACGTTTAAAATTTTCCTTTTTGGTGCAGAAAGGTTTTGGATTTCAAATAATCATCTTAAAAATGAGCTTCTGGAAGCCATTCTTCTAATTAGGGACTTCTGTTAACAGAGGAGAGCACATATGCATGTGCCCCTAAAAATCCTTTCCATTTTGCTGCACTGCATCAGATATGCTCAAGCTACTTGGCAAAGAAAAGACTTCTTTTACCTTAATCTGAACCCTGAGTTGGATGTTCTCCCAGTCATTGGACACAGCCCCAGAACATTTAATACGCCCTCTCACTTTGTCCAAGCCAAGCAGTTTATTTGGCTAGGGAAGACAGTATTGTGAGCTAGTTCCCAGTACCTGGGAAACAGTAGTTATTTCCTAAGTGTTGTGTAATCCTAAAGAAGAACCCCCATCCTTTCCTTACCATCCACCTCCCCTCTTCTCCGTCTCTGCCCCCTCAGTTTTCTCTTTGTTATGCTCGGAGGCTGTTGGAATAGACTGGAATATGAGAATAAGAGACAGTTCCCTGAAATCAGGTTATCATGTTGTTTCTGATAAAATCTGTGAGTTAGGAATATGGCAAGTATACCTGTAAATGTAAAGCACTATATAAATGTATGTTGTCACTCTTATTCTCTAGGAAATTGTTTGAAATCTACCCTGACTGCATTGGTCCATCTGCTAGTTATTTCTCACTTTAAGTACTAAATTATTTTCCTTCAGTATCCTTTCTACCATCCTTACATCCTGCTGGTTTTTTGGTTTTTGTTGTGTTTTTTTAACCTGATCTATCACTTCATCAGGGTAGGGAGCTCCAGGTAAAAAAATTCCTCTACCAATACAGATTGGCACCTACTTTTCAACTTCTAGTCTTAGAGAATTCCTGGGGACTTTAAGAGGCCAAATGACCAGTGGCACACAGCCAGTACATGTAAGAAGTGGGACTTGACCTCAGCCCTTCCTGATTCCAAGGCTAACTATCAATCCATTCTGCTATGCTTTTCTCCTCCTCTCTTCCTTTCTAAATACCAGAGAGTCCTGTCTCATGTCCACTCTTATTCTTATTTCTCGGTCTTCCTTATCTGTTGGATCAGGCTCTATGTTGAACTATAGCAGCATGTGGTACCTGGCTTTTTATTTTTTTAAGCTTACCTCTGTCTCTTTTCCTGAAAGGTAAGGGAGTTGCCTTAGAAAGACTACAATTCTGAGGATTAGTAAAAAACTGAAATAACCTCAGGAAGCAGTTGGTTTTAGATAGAGGCCCTTTCAGATTTAAACTAAGAAATTTTAAATCAACAAGTCTTTCCCTTCTTTTTTGTATCCTCCCTGTTGCCTGTCCTCTTTCCTTTTTTGATATAAACTTTGATTTCTAGGGAGTAGCTCTGTAGCTTTAGTTTTTGCTTTTGTTTTTTTAAAGTGCATGGTTTGGTTTAGAAATGTTTTTTCTTCTCTCCATTGTCAGAAAGTTCTGGTAAATGCAACACAGGTATATTTGTATCTCTTAGGAAACTCCCAGTGTTCTTTCTTTCATAGATGGGAGTCAATCCAACCAGTGTTGACTCAGTAATTATTGGGAAAGACCAGGAGGCCACGCTAAAGCCAGGACAGATTCTCCACATTGTGAATGAACTTTACCCTTACACTGTACAATTTATAGAAGAAACTGAGACACCTGTCCTGGGAAGAGAAAGGAAGAGGAAGAGGCCTGGTGACAATAACCACAATGAAAAGGGTGAGGACAATAAAGCAGAAAAGGTGGTGGGAATGGAGCCCTTGGACCGTTCAGAGCGGACTTCAGTTCATAAGCCAAGCAGCGCCAAATCTGCTGAAGCCCTCAAAAAAGGTGACAGTACTTCCAGCAAAAAGGTGAATGGATAGAGGTAACTCGATAGTGATGACAAGAATGTTACTTGCTCATGGCAAGAAAATCTTTGCGTTTTTCTCTCTAATTGTTAAAATAAGTAATTTTTTTCCCATGAAGATTAAACATGGGAGTGGAGATTTTATTTTTATTTGTTATGTGGCGACGGTTTTCAAAGGCACATCCCAGCAAAAACACAAAGCCCCCACAAAATACATTCTAAAAGAGCGAAGGAAAACCACCTCATAGTGATTTTTATGATAGCACATCCCCTTTCCCGCTTTTTAAGCATCCCATTTATTAACGGAAAGAAAGGATGTATGCTTTATTGTCCGTTGTATTTGACTTGTTTCTTGCTGTTCAGCATCGTGTTCATTTATGTTATTGCCATTATATCCAATGTTCTTTTTGCTCTGCTTTCTTCATGTGGAACACCATGCAAGTCTGCCCATGTTTCTCTAAATTCTTATTTGTTGTTTCTTACAACACAGTATTCCATTATCTTCATAAACGACAATTTCCTTAGCCATTCCCCAGATGTTGGTCACGTGATCATTTAAAAAATTTTTATTGATGTTTTCTGTTTCTTACATCACCATGGTATCCTGTGTATCCCCCCCCACTCTCTGAGAGCCATCTTCTGTGACAGATAGTATGTTTTAGAGCGAGGGAAAAAAAAAAGTCAGCACAGCTGATAATACAGTGAGAAAGTCTGAAAACATGTTCAATGTGTAACACCTGTGAATTTCCATCTCCATAAAGGGGTGGGTTGGGGTGTCTTTTCATATCTCTTCATTTGAGTCCCTCTTGATCATTATAATTTTGTTACATTTACTTTTGACTTTTTGGTATGTAGTTGTTCTTTCCATTTACATTGTTATAGTTACTGTGAATATTGTTTTCTTGGCTCTGCTCATATAGATCTTTCCATGCTTCTCAGCTTTTATCATTTCTTACACCATAGTAACATTCTGTTACATTCATGTGCCATAATTTTTTTAGCCATTCCCCAACTAACAGGCATCTACTTTGTTTCCGATTTTCAAAAAAAGGTGCTGCTATAAATATTTTTGAATTTATGGGGACTTAAGGCCATTAATGGAATCTCTGGTTCAAAGGGTATGGGATCACTTTATTTGCATAATTCCAAATTGCTTGTCAAAATGGTTGTACCATTCATTTTACAACTCCACCAGCATGTATTAATGTGCCTATCTTTTCACAACCCTCCAGCATTGACTATTGTTATTTTTTGTCATTTTTGCCCATTTGCAGGGTGTGAAGTGAAACCTCAAGTTTGTTTTGATTTTTATTTCTTTTATTATTAGTGATTTGGAGCATTCTTCCATGTTATGGAATATTTTGCAGTTCTTCTTTTGAGAACTACTTATTCATATCCTTTGACTTTTTATCTATTGGGGAATGGCTATTAATTTTTTATATATTAGATACCAAACTTTTAGCCAAAATATTTGATACAAAGATTTTTTTCCCATTTGACCACTTCCTTTCTTGTCCTAGAAGCATCAGTGTTGTCTGTGAAGAAGCTTTTCAGTTTTATAAGTTCACAATTTAAAAAAAATTCTTTAATGTTTATTAAGAATACTTATTTTTGTATAACTTATGTTTCTCAGTATATCTCTCCCTTTTCCCTCCCAAAGAGCCATTTCTTAAAAAAAAGAAAAAGTAACCAGCACCTACAAAAAAAACACCTGACATTATATACCACGTCCATACCCATGATACCTCATTTTAGTCACTTCTTAGTGTGATTCCAAGTTGATTTTCAGCATAGTTAGACCAATTCACAGCTTCACCACAGATGCATTAGTAGATCATGTAGTTTGTTTACAGAATTTTGCTATTACAAATAGTGTTCTCATGAATATTTTTAACACAGTTCTTTTCTTGTTGTCGGTTACCACCTCGGGATATAAACCCAATAGTGGCATTGCTTGGGTTAGAGGGTATGATTTAGAAACTTTTCTTTCCCAATTCCAAATTGTTTTTCAGAGCAGTTGGTTCAGGTTACAGTTGAGCAATAATGAATTAGCAGGTCTAGTTTCCTATAGTCCTTTCGCCACTGGATTTTTACATCTGTTACCAGTCTTTAGCCATTTGATGGGTATGAAGTGATCCTCAGAATTTTTTAAATTTGCATTTATCCAATTATCAGTGATTTTGAGCAGTCTATTGGAGGGTGGTCTGCTTTTCTTTTGAAACTTTTCATGTCCTTTAAAATGGTTAGATTGAAAAATAGGATAATGTCATAGTTGAAGTTTCCATTTGACATAGAATTTCAGATTTTTTTCCATAAGGTGTTATATACTACTAAGATTAGTTTAAAATGTATTAATAAATTTTGTTTTAATTCAACAGGTACTTCTTTTTTTTAAAAATAAATTTATTTTGATTTATCAACAATCACTTCCATAAGCTTTTGAGTTTCAAATTTTCCTCCCTCTCCTACCTCCCTCCCCAAGACGGTGTGTAATCTGTTATAGGCTATACATATACATTCCTATTAAACATATTTTCACATTAGTGATGTTGTAAGTAAGAATTAGAATCAGTAGGAGGAACCACCAGAAAGAGGATACAAAACACAATAGAAGGGAAAAAAGTAGCAAATAGTGTGCTTTGATCTGCATTCAAACTCCATGGTTCTTTCTTTGGATGTGGATAGCATTTTCCATCATGAGCCCTTTGGAGATGTCTTAGATCCTTGTATTGCTAAGAAGGGTTAAGTCTATCAGTATTAGTACCTAACTGATTATGTTATTCCCTTCTTGAGCCAAATCTGATGAGAGTAAGGTTCAAACAATGCTCATCTCCCTCCCTTCTTTCCCTCTGCTATAATAGGTTTTGTGCCTTTTCCTGTAACGTAATTTACCCTGTCTGCCTCCTCCTTTCCTTTTCTCTTAGAACATTTTCTTACATCAGATTAATCACTTACTTGGTCCATTTAACCCACTTGAGATTTTTTTTTAATCATTACATCAAAGTCAACTTATACCCACCCCCTTTATGTATACCCATTTAACATGGTGTAATAACGATACAGTTCTCAGGGGTTACAAGTGTCGTATTCCCTTGTAGGGATGTAAAGTTTGCCCTTATTAATAACATGTTATTTCTTTCTGCCCATTTACCTTTTTATGTCTCTCTTGAGTCTTGTATTGAAGATCAAATTTTCTGTTGAGCTCTGGTCTTTTTATCAGGAAGGTTTGGAAGTCCCCTATTTTGTTGAATATCCATCTCTTCCCTGAAAGATCATGCTCATTTTCACTGGGTAGTTGATCCTTGGTTGTAATATTTTGCCTTACAGAATATCATATTCCATGCTCTACAGTCTTTTAATGTAGAAGCTGCAAGGTCCTGTGTAATCCTGACTGTGGTTCCATGATATTTAAATTGTTTCTTTCTGGCTGCTTGCAGTATTTTCTCTTTGACCTGGTAATTTTGGAATTTGGCTACTATATTCCTTGGTGTTTTCAATTTGGGATCTCTTTCAGGAGGTGATCAGTGGATTCTTTCTATGGCTATTTTACCCTCTGGTTCTAGGACCTCAGGGCAGTTTTCCTGTATGATTTCCTGAAAGATACTGTCCAGGCTCTTTTTTTCATCATGATTTTCAGGTAGACCAATAATTTTTAAATTGTCTCTCCTGGATCGATTTTCCAGGTCAGTTGTTTTACCAATGAGGTATTTTACATTTTCATCTATTTTTTCATTCTTGTTTTTGTTTGACTGATTCTTGCTCTCTCATAGAGTCATTAGCTTCCATTTGCCCAATTCTAATTTTTAACAAATTGTTTTCTTTATTAGATTTTGTACCTCCTTCCCCATTTGGCCAATTGTATTTTTTTAGGGACTTGTTTTCTTCAGTGTACTTTTTTCCAGTTGGCCAATTGTATTTTTAAGGACTTGTTTTCTGTAGTTAATTTTTGTCCTTCCTTTCCCAAGCTATTGACTCTCTTGCATACCTCTCATTTCTTTTCCCATTTTTTCTTCTACCTCTCTCATTTGACTTTTAAAATCCTTCTTGAGCTCTTCTAAGAAGGCTTTTTGGGCTTCAGACCAGTTCATATTCCCTTTTGAGGTTCCAGATGTGGGTTTGTTGACAATGTTGTCCTCTTCAGAATTTCTGCCTTGATCTTCACTGTTCTCATAATACGAATCTATGGTACATTTCTTTTTGCTCATGGTGTTTGCTTATTTCCTGGCCTTTAAAGAGATTGAGCTCTCCTGCTGGGGAGCAGAGGGCACTGACCAAGCTTCTTGTTTGGGAGCCTAGGGCCTGGTCACTGGCTTTGTATGCTGGGGCCTCCAATGCTGGCAGTTGGAGGTATAGGGTTCTGACAGCTTACTTGGTGTTGGGCTGGAATCAGAACACTGGAACTCTAGGGGTAGGATTGGGTAGTGTGGCTCCTGGAGATTTCCTCTCACCTGGGCCTTTCCTTTCTTTCACTTTCTTCAGCTCCTTTCAGAGGATGTTGCAGGATGTTTATCCACATGGGGCCCCTTGGAGTGCTGCTTCCTTTAGTTTTGCTGAGGCACTGGGAGAGCTGGTTGCTGTAGAATGCCCAGACACCTGGTGGTTTTCCAAACTGGTTTCCACCGGTTCCCCTACCCTCACTGAGGCACTCAGGGTCCAGGTATTGGTGTTTGCCTGCTCCACCACCTGGGTTTCAGGATCTCCTCTTGGTATGCTGAGGTGGGGCTTTTCCGCCAACTTGCTGGGATTCCTCCCATTCCTCCAGGGCAAGAGGGGCCTTTCTTGTTAATCCCTCAAGCTACTTGGTCTACAGGACTGTTGCACACCATTTTTCTTCTGGTTCAGCTGTTCCAGGGTTTTTTCTGGGCAATATTTTCTAGGCTTTCAGAGCGACTTACTTCTTACCTCAACAGGTAACCTCCTTCTTAAGTACATTTCCTGAAAATTTAATTAAGTTGTTAACAGAAAGGAGTGCTGTGTCATTCATGTTATCTCAATGTTGTCCTTATACCAGGATTTTATATATCTCATTGTTTAGATGTGGGAATTTAACGAGAAAGAAAAGAGTATCTGTGGTTGCTAATTTTTGCCTTTTTATAACATAAATGTGAGCTTTTGTGACAGAAAAATGCTTACTGGAAAATGATGGTAGAACAGACTAGAAATCCAGTGTACTAGAAAATTGCAAACAGACAGACTTGTGTTGTTGTGAGGAAAGAAAGGTCTTTGTAAACTCTGTTATTATGGTCTTCTGTGAACACAGTCCTTTTATACCATAGGCATCTTTTGGACATTGGAGTCAAGGTTTGAAGATTTCTATGCATGACCCCAAAATGCAGGTAAGATGAAGCACTATATTTGAAATATTTTTAATTCTTTTCAGAAATAACCAACTCTCAGAGGCCATATCTATACTACCAGTGGAATAGAGTGGCGAGAAAAATGAATTTTCTAGGTCTGCAGAACTTCTTGGAGGAAAAGCTGTTCCCTTGGCGGATTTTGCATGTGCGTGTGTGTGTGTGTGTGTGTGTGTGTGTGCGTGCGTGCGTGCGTGTGTACACATCACATACCTTAAGAACCCTATTAAGAAAGTTATATATTAATATATCATGCTGCATGTTTACAGACCCAGTCATTGCATTTTGACTATTAATGGCATTTTTTATATTGTCTGTCTTCTGTGTGAATAATAACAAAACATTTTTTGTAAAGGGCTTCCAGATTCACTTTTATTTAGAAAATTTTATCTTATTTTTATTAATGCTTTTTGGTTTTATATCACATTCATTTCAGAATACTTTCAAAAGTTTTATTTGTACCTTTTAATTATTATCTTTTATTTTACATGACTTTGCTTTTCCATTATATTGCTGCTTCTCCTTCACTGAGAGAGCCATCTCTTCTTACAAAGGATAGAAAAGAAAGTAGTAATAAAGATCAGTTCAGCAAACTATTGAGCCTGTCAAACAAGCCTGATAGAGTATGCAGTATTCAGCACCCATAGGGCTCCACCTTTACCAAGAAGAGAGGGAAGTGGCCCTAGGTCTTCTGACATGACCTGCTATCTGGCCATACCTCTCTTGAATGTCATCTTGGACATTCAGTCCATTGTTCTGGCTTGTCAGGATTGTATTAGGGATGGTCATCGTTTCCAGCTGTCCTCTCC